GGCGGCCCCGGGCACTAGCGCCGAGCAGCGCCCGACATGACGCGGCGCGGCCGACGGGCGGGCCCGGGGGCGGGGTGGGGGGGGTGGAGAGCGCAGCGCGCGAGAGCCGGAGGGCGGCCACTCCCTCAGCGCCAACGGGCTCACGGACCACCGCGCGGATCGCAGGGCCACCGGCCTGACCCGGCCGCCTCCCGCTATTGGCCGAGGCTCCTCTTGCTCCGCCCCTGATTGGCAGGAGGCTTGTCCAGTCCAAGAGCAGGCAACGCGTTGAGTCTGCGCCCGAGTGGCCACTGGGAGCCGGACCTGCCTGCCTGCCCTGCTCTGATTAGTCCCCAGGCCAGCGGGCGCGCCCCTTCCATTCGCTATCCGCCCGGCGCACAGGGCGGCGCGCGAGATCGCCACATCTACGCGGACCCTCCTCGTTGGCTCGGAGGGTGGCTCCCGCATTGGAGTCGACGCCTAGTAACTAGACAGCAGGCAGGGCTCTCGAACTAGCTGTTCTATCTTCAGGGCAGTGGGTTTTGTGTCTCCTTGGGCGTCGAAGGCCGGGGAAATCCGTAGGAGGGGAGGAGCAGGTCACCTCAGTGGAGGTGGCGGCGGGAGGACGTCTTGAGGATGCGGAGGGTGTGGCGGGAGGACGGCTGAGGTTGTGAGAGAGGAGGGGCAGCATTGCGATCGGGCGACCCTCCACAGGCCACAAGGGCAAAACCTGGGTTTCCAGTCCTTCCTGATGGACTCATGCAGGAACCCGAAAAGAAGAAACCTCAAAATAAGAGCACCTGAGTTCAGTTAAAAATGACAGTGACTCTCCATCCTCTACGTGCCAGTTCCTCCGCGGATGGACACAGGCCCCACCCAAAGAAGCTGACATACTGTCTGCAGCCTCAGGCTGTGTCCCCTGGGAGGGGCTGGGTCAGCTCAGGGACTGACTCTCCTAGGCATCACGCTCTGAGCTCTTTCAAACCATTTTTACACCCAGTTCCTCATCTGATCCTACTGTTGTGACAGAAAAGGCAATTGAGACCTAGAAGACTGGAACAGCTTCAGAGAGGTGGGCAATGAGCTAGAGGCACACACAGCACTTCCTCTGTTGGACCAATCACACTCCCAGGTGGAGAAGTGTTCCAGGTCAGTGTTTTCTCCCACATCAGTTGCATCGAAATCACTGGAGGGCGACCTTGTTAAAATACAGAGTCCCAGTCCTACCTCCAGAGAATCTGATTTGGTCTGTCTGGAGTGAAGCCCTTACATTCGCACTGCTGACAAACTCCCAAGTTATCCTGATGCTGCAGGTGCATGAACCACGCTTGGAGTGGCACTGCCCTAAAGAGGGCCCCTTGAGGCTTTCTCTTATCTATCACTACTCTCTCTAGCCCTTCCCAAGGACATGTATAACAAAATTTCCTCTTTCTGTCCCATGACAATTAGGACGTTTCAGCTGTAACAGAAACTGCGACCAAACTTGGCTTAAATGAGGATTTTATTATCTTACCTAACAAGAAGTCTGAGCAGATCCCGGGTTGATTCACTCAACATGGAGTTACCTGGACCAGCTTCCTTCCATTTCTCCACCCTCCCGGGTGGCCTCCCCTCACCCTAGGAATCCATGTGAGAAAACCACAGAACTGAGTCAGGAAGACAGTTTTTCCAACTCCTTAAGGAAAGCCTGTATAAAGAGAATGAGAAGGGAGACCCAGAGGCTCGGGAGGTGAGGAAATCCATGTGTAACTAGTTTTACATTGCATTCTGAATGTGTTGGAGTTTTCATTTTCCATTTCTGCTGAGGATTTCCTTTAGTAATACAGTTTCCCAGTTGTTTCTGTTTACACATTTGGTGGTGGGGGGAGTGAGGGGGGGGGGGGGGGTTGGATCCAAGGTCAGCAGCCTGGAATGAGGACTTGCTGAATGAGTGGAAAGGGGTTGGAACAGGCTTTCTGGGAAAGCAGGGCACTTTGCTGGCAGCAGCTGTCCCCACCCAACAGTGGAATGACTTCCAGGCCAGTTCACATGAAGGCTGCAGGGAAGGGTCAGTGAGCCTTTAAGAGAAGGATGGGGTGAGTAGCACATACTCACGCAGAGGTGGGGGCTGTTGTCGGAATACAGGCAGGTGTACTCTGGGGTCACTTCTCCAAGAGTAAACCAAACAAACAGGCCTGAGATCAAGCCCTGAGATTAGTAACTGGATTCCATTCTCCATGTCTCCCTAACAAAAAGAACTGAATGCTGGCAAATCTCTAGAGTACTGATTCAGCTACTGAATTTTCCCTCCTTATTCTAACTAACTGAATAATTTAACAACCAGAAAGGAAATGAAAACAGAAGTAAAAGCATCCATCTTCTTTTCCATATCACCTTTTCAGTTTTCATTTTGATTTAAATGTTTTAGACACATAAAAATTATAGATAATACTTAGCTCCCTGCTCATGAAATGCTATATCACAAACACAGTTGTGTCTGCACATACCTCCCTAATTTCATCCCCCCTCTCCTATATATCGTATGTATCATTCCATGCATGTTTTCTCTTTAGTTAGGATATATGATACAGCAAAGTGCAAAACTATATATGTACGGTTTGAAGAATAATTATAAACGAGCTACCCATAAAACCACTACTCAATCAAGAACTAGAATATTACCAGTCCCTACATGCTCCAAGGGTCCTCCCTGATGAAGACAACCTCCATTCTCCCAGAGGTCACCAGCATCTTTACTTTTCTGACAATCATTTCCTTGTTTTCCAAGTTTAACTACCCCTGTCGACACCACTGAGCAATGCAGCTTAATTTTTGTTTTTAGACTAAATAAAGGCCGCGTTATCCATGCCACTGATGAATATTTAATTATTTCCTAGTGTTGTATCAATCAGTGCTGCTACAAATCTTATTTTAATGTCTCTTGCTGCTCTGAACATTTCATATCAAATCATGTCACTCCTCCATTTAAAGCTCTTTAAAGGTTGGGGCGCCTGGGTGGCACAGTCGGTTAAGCGTCCGACTTCAGCCAGGTCACGATCTCGCGGTCCGTGAGTTCGAGCCCCGCGTCAGGCTCTGGGCTGATGGCTCGGAGCCTGGAGCCTGTTTCTGATTCTGTGTCTCCCTCTCTCTCTGCCCCTCCCCCGTTCATGCTCTGTCTCTCTCTGTCCCAAAAATAAATAAACGTTGAAAAAAAAAAATTAAAGCTCTTTAAAGGTATTCTTGTTTCAGAGAGGAGTGAAGAAAAAAAGCATGGTTCTGAGTGAAGTGAAGGGAGAATGGGAAGAAAGAAAGAGAAAAGAGTGGGGGGGGGAGTGGAAATACTCTGTGGAGGAGTTTTGCTAGCGCCCAGAAGTCTTCCACCTTCCAAGTTTTAACTCCAATAAATTGATCTTTGATCTCTAGATTCTATCTTTCTCCCAAAACTGGTTTATTTGCTTTTCTACTTCCTTAAGACTGATGGTCCCTTGCCCTCTCACCCTTTTTTCTCAGGTAGCTAATAAAATAAAATCACTTGATTTTATTTTCTCCCCTATCCTACCATGACCCCACATATCCATCTAAACATCTCCCTAGGGAATGTCTTCCTGTGTTCCCTTGCCAGCACCTGACCACGGGACAAAACCCATTAGATTAACCCATCAGCTTTCTGTGCTGTATCTCTGGATAAGTGCCATCACCATATGAATTTAGATACCACTATAAATGCACGATTAACTCATGCAGTGCCACTGGGCCATCTGTCCATGTGTTTCTTCTAGTCAGCTCTTTCCTTTTTTATTTTTAATGTTTATTTATTTTGAGAGAGAGCAAGAGAGAGCGAGCGCATGAACAGGGGAGGGGTAGAGAGAGAGAGTGAGAGAGAAAAACCCAAACAGGCTCCATGCTATCAGTGCAGAACCTGACGTGGGGCTCGAACTCTCAACCACGAGATCATGGCCTGAGCCAAAATCGAGTTGGACGCTTAACTGACAGAGCTACCCAGGCACCCCTCTTTTTTTCTTTAGTTGAGATATAATTGACATATAACATTATATTAGTTTTGGGTGTACAACATAATGATTCAATGTTTGTATAAATTGCAAAAAAGATTACCACAATAAATCCAGTCAATATCCAAGTCAGCTTCCTTTTCTAGTTCCAAACTTACTCTTTCCAAGGCCCCTCTGCACTCCAGGATATCTCCTCTCCTTCCAGCAAATGGAAACTTGGCTTTTATTGCATAGAGTAATGCAGCTATCAGGCATGAAGAACTTCCTCAACTTCCTACCATCTCACCCTCAAGTTAACCATCTCCTCTGGGTTTGAGGCTAAATCTCCCCAAGGAGGCTCTAACTTGTACTTGCTCTATAAGTTAACCCTTCTCTCTCCTGAATTTTTGGTCTCTTCCTCTGTATGGTTTTCTTGGCTGCAGCCTATATTATGTGCCAGTTTCTCCCATCATAATAAATAAAAATTCTTCTTCAATCTTGCATCCTTCTCTAGGTAGCACACCTTCTTTCTCTGTCCCATGGTAGCGAGTATTCTCACAAGTGTCCATACTGTTTCCTCTATTTCCTTATCCCCATTGCAGAGTAGGTTTCACACCCATCACTGAAACTGCTCTCCCCAAGATCAGCATGGCTTTCTAACTGCCAAGCCCAACCATCTGTCCTTCTTGAACTCTCTAGATCATACCACAGTGGAGTCTCTTAAAACCCCCTCCTCCTTTGAATTCC